TTTAAAGAAATGGCGTGTCGTCTATTTCCGCTGTAGCAAACGTAGTACATAGGGCGACATCTAGATGTCATCTACCTCGCCCTATTCACTACAGATGTCGCCCTATGCACTATGCTTTTTTATAGGAACTTTTCAAAGCAAAGGTTTTATGGTGTCGGACACACAACATTGAAAGTTTCTGGATCCACAACATTGAAAGTTTTTGGACACACAACATTGCAAGTTGATAAAAGCGTTGTAAAATTAATGGTAATTTCGTTTCTACCAAAAAATGTCGCCGTTTAATTGCACCTTTTTTTCGTGATAGATTTGAAATTAAAGTCAGAGGGTGGGAAAAGTGTATGTTCGTTTTTTACAATGTCACTCTTATAAGGCAAAAAGGCACATTCTCTGCCCTTTGAAGCTGTGTCGGGGAGATGGTTGCCCTGAAAATCAGATGGTTGGAAGAAATCAAGGCATAATAGGTGCAATCCCGTATTCCTCGGACTCGGACTAGTAAAACTGTCAAAAAATAAAAATTCGCTCAGAGCGAGAGAGTAACATTGAAAAGTACGGGATCGCTTTCTAGTAAAAAATGGTAACTTTTGTCAACTTCAACATAACCTCCAAATTTTGGTTGTAAATTTTTGCTTATTTTGTATGTAAACACACTCAGCTCACACATGTAAATAACCAAAAATACTTTCACATTCATTAGAATCCACTTATACAAGTAATTAAATAATTTTCAACATGAATTAGCAGAGTGCACTTTTCTTTTGTTTACAATTTGGTTGCCAAACACACTACAGCTGATCGTTCGACACATTTACCAGAATTTACCAGCAAAAAATTCTCGGACTAAAACTGGTAACTTCTGACAGAGAGAGAACCGTATTTACTCTCTTTTTTGTCCTCTCAATAGTCAGAGAACCGAGTACGGGATCGGTTTCCAGTAAAATCTGACTGATTCTGACTATTTCTGACTAGTCCGGACTCGTGCGAGACCGCAACTAATAAGGTAGAAGTTCAATCATGATTACGACATTTCGCTCTTTTGAACTGCGACTAAAATGTCGACTCTTAACCCTATACTATTCAAAATTTGAAATTTTTTAATTTAAATTTTCAATTGTGAGCTGTGCGACTGATTTTAAATACATAATAAAATTAAAAGGAGGAATTACGGGCGGTATGTTAGGTTTGGCAAGAGCCAGGACAACAAACTTGTGCGTTATTTTAAACATTGTCAAGTGAAGCGACAACGATCGCAAATTGCTGCGATGTTTCATTAGGAAACTCATCACGTGTGCGCGAAAACCATTTTAGTGCCAGTGACTTTTTTTGGTGCCCATCGCTGCCGAGTATTTCTAAGCGGGCGCGTTTGCTCCCAGGTGCAGGATTTATCATACCGAATATGAAGAGAAAATCTGCCACCCATATACATGGATAGACCAAATTTCAAATGGTGGTCTGATAAAACCTAAACCTGAATTCCAAGTTGACACAAAGATTTTTAATAAATTTAGGGGAAGGAAATTCCGAATTGCAAAAATTTAATAGCTAAATTATCGAAGTTAAGTTCTGATGTAAATTTAGAAGGAATAAATTTTTTAATGTGTAATATACTGTAGAATTAAGTATTTGAATAAAAAAATAAATGCCCAAAAGCATTGGGCTAGTAAAAGCAAGAAAATTGCCTAAACGGTTTTATAAATTAGTGTGTTTCATTTAATGTGTAACTCTATGTAAGTATTCATTTCCACATTTACATTGAAACAAAAATGCAATAACTAAAATGAAGCTGATTCTAATGAGATTTTAAATTTTTTCATATTTACAAAAGGTGCGTTCGACAAGTCAAAAATTTGTAATAGTTTTTCCAAATTTTTACTGGATGGCGTTCAAGGTACATTGAACAGGTAGTATCAGTAGAGCAGCTGATTTGATTTATTTTCAAATTATTTGGTCTCGAAAATGTCAAATAATTTTAATTTTTTCTCACGAAAATTATAAGTTGTTAAAATCCATTTGCTTGTGAAACCTTTTTCCATACAAAACAAGCGATTGAATAGCAGCTTTTGGAACGTTCGCCCAACTCGGCAGCACGACCGCTGATTACTGGGCCTTGCAAAGGATGGATCAATGCTTCGAGAAGCAAACAAATTTACTAGGAAAGAAAGTTGCATCAATTTTTATTTTTTCCAATTTCAATTTTTTATTTTTTATAATTTTTTGTATTTCACATGGCACGCTTTGATTTAGAAGAAAAAATTCAGAACAGTTGTTGACACTTTCGATACCAGAAGCAACAACAAAATACACGCAAATGTTGTTTTTGCTCTACTGATACTACCTNCAAAGTCAGCTGGTGTGTCTTCTTCTTCCGGTTTTTGCAAGTAATGGCTAATTTCCTGTTCGTTTACTTTTTTGCTTTTTCATCTCTTTGGGAGAGAATTTTCGCTTACTCTCTTGATTTTGATTGTTGGCTGGTGTTGGCTAATTTTGTTATCGAAAGCAACTAAAAACTTTCATTTCAAAGATATTGGGCCGTATGCATACAACATAAGCAAATGCTGTTTCTTAAAATTTCAGACCTTTTACTCGATTTTTTCAAACAGATTTAAGTGAAAGGTATGAAATTTTAGGTAAAAGTAATTGCCTAGTTTTATGCATACGGCCCATTGAGTTTTATCAAATATGGTAAATGCATAACAAAGGATTAATTTCTTTGTTTACATTTTTAACATTACAGTCAGCTATGAGAAAGCTCGACTGAGTTGTCACTTCTACCTTGTTGAATATGCCTTGGAAGAAACGAAATCACCATAAAATAAGGACCGTGAGAAATATTGTGCGGCAGCTGTTGACAAAACGCTGAATTCTATTGTGACTACGCAGTACGAAAAGTAAGTTTTCGCAACAACAAACTTTTAACTCAGAATTTTTGGAAAGATTATAAGTTCGCAGTTTTATAGCCCATTTAATAAAAGTGCAAGTTTCTGCAAAATCCCGTCGATTTTTGATATTTTTTTTTTTTGCGACGGTGTCATACATTTTCATCTATTTAGAAAATAATCGAACACACTTTATGTGGAAAAAATGCATAAACTCGAAAGCTAGGAATCCCTCTGAAAATTCTGAATTAAAAGTTTGTTGTTTCAAAAACCTGCTGAATTTTTATAATTTGTGTACAAAGGTTGAAATGTCGATTTGTGTACATATATGGTGTTTCTTCATGATACAAATATTTATAGGTAAAACCGTTCACTCAATCGTCGGCCATCATTTATTTTTCGAAGTTTGTCTACTTTATAAAATTGAAATTATGAGAGCAACTCAAATGCCAAATAAAAGTAAAACAAAAAGCAAATCGATGAGAATATTAAATTTTCTTTTATTTGAGACTGAAAGGGAGAATGTATTTGTGATATTGAAAATTTGAGAACATTTTTGTTATGTTAGCAAACTTCAAAAATTTGCAGTCTGCCTCTCAGCGGTTTTACCTTCAAATTTGTGTATCATGGTGTTTGTTATATTATGAGTTACTGCCGTGTATTTTAAAAATTCTATTTCTAATATTTTGTTGCTCTTACAAGACCTTAAAAGAAAGCAATTTTAATTTTGTGGCACTTTCATCTTTTCGGCACTATTTTGAAATTTTGTAATTCCATCCCTGATGTAGGGTAAACTGGGGCAGATTCGTCACCTTTTTTTCAAAGTTCTATAATTCAGAAATTCGTCAACAGATTTTGAACTTTAATACTTTTTTTTTTGAACTTTTCGTACTAAAGAAGGTAGTAACTTATGACGGTAAGCTAATTAAAAAATTAAAGAAAAGAAGTCATTTAATTGCAATATATCACAAATTTAATAATATACAGATGTAATTAAAAATTTACGTTTTAGCAAACTTTATCATACAATTACTAACCTTGATAAGGAGAATATGTTCAGCCTAACAGATGACTAAACTTCCCAATAATGGCGAAGATATGAGTCTTTCCATCTGTCTTTTGGTATACCAACTGTATGAATTGATCAAACTTTGATTGTGTTTTCCCACAATATTAAAATTTTTAAATAATTCTGCATATTATTAAACGTGCGATATGTATCTACATACATACATATGTACATAATAGTTGCGTTCGAAAACAAAATTAGCCAACACCAGCCAACAATCAAAATCAAGAGAGTAAGCGAAAATTCTCTCCCAAAGAGATGAAAAAGTAAAAAAGTAAACGAACAGGAAATTAGCCATTACTTGCAAAAACTGGAGGAAGAAGCACACCAGCTGACTTTGTTTATGTTTTATTTGTAAACAAACTGAAATTCATGTTGCCTCCATGGAAGAAAAAAGGAAAGTGAACGTTCAATGTTTGCCAGGAACATTTCTAGAAGTAAAAACTAGTTGGCGCTATCATAAAGTCACATAACAGGTAGCCAAAAAGCATATAAATACCAAAACTCGGAAAATGCAATTTTGTTTGTTTACAAAAATTGCAACCATATGTTTTGTGATCATATGTTTTCGTGTTGGATAATTTTTGCTGACTAAAATTTTGCCAGTACAAAATGAACGCTTCTCTTGCATCAAAATGAACGCTTGCTCTCTCAATTTTTGTGTGTTGGATAATTTTTTGTCGTTATCGAACGCCATCCAGTAAAAATTTGGAAAAACTATTACAAATTTTTGACTTGTCGAACGCACCTATTATCCAGTCTCATTGCGTAAGTCGTAAATTAGGCTATATTGGCATTGTCTACTGTCGTGCTGAAATAAATAAACGACGAAAATCGTCGAAAACTGTGCAGTGCTGGCAAGTTTTTCCGTTTTAATACACTAGTCGAGCCGAAATTTTAGGCATTCACATGAAATTTTCGATACGATTCGCCTCTCGAAAAACTTCTTGCCTTCGGTACGACTGTCGCAATGAGGCTGATTATACTATATTGTTTAATAAGTAAGTACATTTTTTCTATACGCTAATGAAATGTGTTTTTAGGGGTTTTGAAAAATATTTGGGAGAAGCTTTCTGAGTGGTTGGTAACACTGGTTCACGACCGCATGGTTGTTGCTAATATATTGAAAAATAACAATCGAAAGATCATACCTAGCAAAATGCTATCGAAACATAAAAAAATAATAAAAATTTATGTTTTTCTTGCTTTTTAAACTTCAAAAGCGTACGAACGTACGGTTCGCGACCGTAGGAAATGCCCATATACATATACTTTATTTTATGTCGTCCTGCTTTCCTGAAGTATGTATGTACTGCATTAATGTTATTTGTTCCAATTCCTGTGCCTACAGATAAACGATCATTTTCGAAACTAAAATTAATACTTAAAAACCTATTTGAGAAACTCTGTGGGACAATACAGGATACGTAACTTGGCTATTCTGTCTATTGAAAATTCTATGGCTCTATCTTTAAACTTTGATGATGTTATAGATCCTTTGCAAAACAGAAAGCTCGGAGAAAAGAAATTTATTCTTATCAAAATAAAATTGATATTTCATCATAAATTTGTATGTATAAACCCATGTTCTTGAAAATAAATTTTTTTAGATATTTAACTAAAATGCGCACATTATTGTTAATAGTATTGGGTAACTACTTATTACTTTATTAAAATTAAATTACATCGTGAGGATTTTTACATCCAAAGAATTTGCCACGGGCTTCAGATGATATAGTTAAGCCACTGCGTATCGAAACCCGATACCAAGGCGAATTTTCTTGCGGAATTCTTTTTCTTCACTGGTACAATTAATATGAATCGCCCAGTGCTTTATGGCTGCTTAAATGCCAGCGAAAACAACGATAAAGCGGCAAAGTCGATGTAATGCGACGCAGAGTGTTCTTTTTTGAAAAAAGATACCTAATCAAATATCTCGACAACGAAAATATAGCAAAATAAATGTAATGATGTTTTAAGGCTTTTGAGATGAAAATGAAGACACTTGGTCCTTTCGAACCATATATCTACGAATAAAGAAGCCTTAAGAGATCTGTGTGTATTTGTTCTGAAAACACATATATATATTTTTTTTTACTTTTTTCGCCTTTTTCCACTTTTTACGCACTATTTTATAAGAAAACCTTACTAGTCAAAAATAATATTTTTGCAATAACTTTGTTTTCATAAAAAGTGCGATTACTCGGTAAAATTTCATCCGATTTCTTAAAATAAACACTAGTTTTTTTCGTTATTAAACTTAGCTTCACAATCAATTTAGGACTAGTGTGCTTTTCTTATAAAATAGCGCGTAAAAAACCTCACCAAAATTAAAAGAGGCAAAAAAAGTAAAAAATAAAAATAAATGTGTTTGATGGGTAAATACCCACAGATCTCTTAAGGTTTCTTTATTCACATATATGTATATCGTTCGAAAGGCCCAAGTTTCTTCTTTTTAAACCTGACAGTAAACTGAAACTCGGTTCGTAATCAACTAAGTTACAGGCTTATAAGTGCACAAAAGTATGAAAACCCGTTTTTTAACGGTAAATCAAGATTTTGGGGGTGTTTAGCAAATTTCACATTTCGATTCTGGTTTTACTCGAAAAGACCTACCAGAAAATACTCATAACTTCCCAGGTATTTCTGCTTTATGCTTTTTTGTTGTACTGTGTATTTTTCAATTTAACACATTTCTGGCTTGCCAGATTTTCGTTTTAGCATTTCTTAAAAATAAATGAACGCAGCATGTGGTAAGTTACCACTGGTAACGATTGTAAGGCCAATAAGGGCCGTTTTCTCATCTAACCTTCAGCAAAGAACATCAATCTATAAGAAGAGACAACACGTTATAATTGTAGCGAGTCTGAATATCAGAAGCGTGCCTTCTCTTTTGCCCAAATACGTTTTTTGATTGGATGAAAAAAGAATCCCATATCCTGATATTCGCACTCGCTACAATTATAACGTGTTGTCTCTTCTTATATATTTACGTTCTTTGCCTTTAGATTACCGATCACTTTATCGCCTCGATATATGAGTTTTCGTTTTCTCATCAGCGCATTAATTTCTCGAATCGATAAATTGTTGCTCATCCGATGTGGCCTTTAAAAATTTGTACCCAACTTTAAATTTTGGTTTGGTTTTGGTTAGATATTTCAACCAACGTTTTGGTTTTTGCTAACAGTTCCTCTTGGCCTTTACATGCTTACTAGCAGACCCGGCGAACTTCGTCCCGCCCAAAATTTTTATATATTTTATTGAAACTTTTTGGTCCAAGATTTTCACCAACAATTCACGTTTACAATTTTCCTAGGCACATTCGTCTGATAAGATTATGGTTTGGTGGTCATCTGCCGCTTTAAATAACCTAAGGAAAGTGTTATTTCCGTGAAGAAGCTCTTGAAATTCTCTAGTAGTGCGACATTTTATAGCACGGTTATTCGCAAAGCGAAATAAATTTTTTCCTCTTCACTCCCTGGCGGCAACAATGACCCGGTTCTATAGTGAATGTCCTAGAAGCTTTACAGTATAGTAGGTGGCAATTTCAAAATGGGTGCGAATCAT